GTGGAGGAAAGCATTCTGACATCACATTTTGGGGTTAGTTACGTGCCTTTGAACTGATACATATGCTCTGTGCATGCACTTTTCCCCACTGCAGAAAACCTACACCTAGTCAGAGCAACCTGGTGTCCTCCAGGTAAGTGGGACTCCCTCTCCAATCATCCCCAGCCAACATAGTCATGGCTGGCTGGGAATTATGGGAGCTGAAGCTGGAGAAGATGGTTTCAAGTAAGCCACAAGCTACCTGTGCTTGCTCACCAGAAAATCCACCTTTAAAAGGATTGGCTCTGCAGCGCCCTTTTGCAACAATCCTGTAGAAACAAAGATCCCCAGTGCCAGCCCGGGCTCTGTGCCCTGCCAGGGCTCTGGCCAAACAAACAGCTATAGGTTAAAGGCATGATCTTTGCAAGTCTAGGCAGAAAAAAGCCCCACAACTCCCAGCATGCCCCAGCCAGCATGCTGGGAGTTGTAAACCGTGCTGCAGTCTAAACTTGCCTAGGATTGCATCCTTAGTTGATTAATCGACCAGCTTAAACTATTAAATTGTGCGAGTGCCTCTCTCAAAGGTGGTGGCTTGGTGCTGCTGTTACCATTTTCAGCAACCCTCTTTGTAATGCTAGAGGTGACTATGTTCCGTTTAAAAATCTCTGCCTTGAACAGGTCATGCTTTATGCAAGGCCCACTGAATGCCTGAGAGTGTCTTGCACACGCCTTTGCATTTGTGACCAGGCAAGGGTACACATGCCCACCATGTGCCAGGTGATAAAGTTCACATGACCATTCAAACACCAACATTCCTGTCTGAAAACCACCAGTTGGGGAAGGTGCCATTCAGTCCAAACACCCCTCTGCCCTTGATAATTTATGCCAAGATGCATGAGTTGTGCACTTACTATCAAAATCCAATAATACCTTGGGAAAATAATTGCACATACTGGTCAGGCTTTTTTCCCTTCTTTCTTAATCTATTTTGAGCAAGGAATCGCATCTGCAGCCAGCCTGTTTGGGAAGGAATTCATGACAGCTAAAGAGGACTTCTTTTCACCCTCACAACAATCCTGTGAGGTGGGGAGAATGAATGAATGCGATGCTCAGAGGCACTGGAGCGCAGGCCTAAATAGTCCCAATCCAATCCTCCATGCACTGTACATCTGCTCTCAAACCTAGATCCATGCACTGCTTGGACCGTTTCTGCCTTTTCTCTCGTCTACAAGTCGAAGCACATTTACAGCTCACATTTTAAGAACAGGTTTTAATTCAGTACCATCAACGGAAATAACACTGTGATATGAAATGCACAGACCCAGCGATGGTCTTAATTTCTTTTATGATAATACAATCCTGGTTGAAAGCAGCCACAACCTGACGTCATAGGCCAGGGACAAATATTCCTGTCTTTTCTGCAACTTTTCTATGGGTCACCTGAATAGAACTTCCTGCTCGAGGGCTCTCTGTTATAGTGCATTAGTAGCAGGAAATTACTATGGGATTATTTCTTGCTGGGCAAAGCCTGGATATGTTGTACAGGGTTCACAAATACATGCATAAATAAATTACCCCATATTACCAAGGGGCGGTTGCCCGAGGACACTGGATTTCGATAGGGATGGAAAGATCTGTCACTTTCACTTTCTCCTGCATTCAAATTGTTTACATCTTTCCAATATGAAGAAATCTGTGAATTTTGCTAAACCTACAAAGGTTCAAGCCCAGACTTTTTCCTAGAGTCTAGATGGACAAATCTGTCAGTTCTTATTTCTGCCACAGCCACATTAAGACTCTCAAATCCCTTCCCTCACAGACATGAAGAAATATACAAATTCTAGTAAATTATTATCAAAAACAAAACAAAATTTGCAGCCAACCTATTTTTAGCGCAGCAGTGAGATTGGAACCAAGCAGGGATGCCCTGCATGCTATGATTCCAACAACATGAGGAGCTGAACAACTTATGGCCTTCCGTTTGTTTTGTCCTACTGCTCCCATCATCCCAGGCCAGATAATGGTGAGCAACTGCAGGAACTGCAGTCCAAAACATCACTAGACCCAGAAGCTGCTCCGCCCTGAACCACTGTTTTCTTGAAAATTCCGAGTGTCATCTGCTAGGTCTTTTTCTGGTTGGTCCCCTTTTGCCCAACACAATCTCCTTAGACATTTCAAAAGCTGGCAAAGTACCCTTGTTTGGGAGGCTGGGGGACTGGAAGCAAATCTGCACTTGATGCCTTCATGCCTGGCAGCAAGCACCTTGCCCTTCTGCCCCCGCCCGCACCCGCTTCTGGCTTTTTTGATATCATAGTCCTTTCACCATACTAGTTCCATTTTACACTATTGATTTTGCCACGAAGCTGCCTTGGAGGCTCTTTGCAAGATTGAATGGCGGGACAAATTATAAATAAATAAATACATGCATGCATGCAAGCATGCATACATACATAAAAACAAGTGAAGGCTTGTTTTTATTGCATTTTTATTGTAATGCGGTTTCCAACATAAAAAATAGTAATCACATATAGGGCAGCATATAAATAATATCAATAAATAAAATAAGCATTATTAAACAGGGAAGTAATTCTGCCTGGTTTATTCATCATGAAGGGAGGGTTGTAAAAGTAACTGGCTCTGATTTCAGGCGGCTGATCTCCTGCTCTCACTGCATGCTTTAATAACTCTGTGCATGTGGTACAGAAGAGCCGGTCAGAGGTATTTATCTACCTGCTTCTGTGTGTCTAGATGAGATTGCATTGGTGGTATTAATTTCTCCCTCTCTGCCTGTTTCCCCTCCCGCAGGTGGCAGGGGGCACTCCAGAAGGACTTGCATCTCCATGCACTTGTGGGTTACTTGGCACATTTTGCAGGAATATGAAACATTCCGGCCTCTGCAACACTGGAATGCTATGCTCGGGCTCCCTGCACATTTGCTAGAAATTGATAGGGAGAGACCATTTGATGCTTTTCTTGGGACATTTGAGAGACTCCATACTGGTGCCCCATAAGGCCATTTTCACTGCAAGCTTTCTAGACAAGAGACGGGCACTTCCAAACTCCCCATCTCACAACAAACAACACTTGCTCATATTCCCAAGAAAAGGGTCCATACTATGCCTCTCTCTTTCCCTTTTTCTTTTAGCTCTTGTCCAACTGAGCTGTGTGCAGGCTTACTCAGAAAGTTCCTACTGCTTTTCCCTAGGATTTACATCCAGGTAAAGGGTCACCAAGTTCCAAGTTTTTTAAAAAATCAGATTCTATCCTAGACCCATGAAATCACAACATTTGATTCCCAACCTGATGTCCTCCAGATGTACTGGACAACAACCCATCATTCCCAGACTGCATGGGGAATAATGGGAGTTGTGGTCCAACACATCTGAAAGGCACCCAGCTACAGTAATTTGAACTAGAGAACAGACAGCTTAGCATTTCCCCGTGATTCTTGGGAACTGTGGTCCAAATATTGGGCACTGGCTGGGGCTGATGGGAAGTGCAGTCTGAGTTAACAGAAGGGCACCAAGCTGGGGAAGACTGAAATTGAAATTGATCTAGCTGAAGCTGCCTGTTCAAGGTCCACGACCAAGCTGCATCCTGCCCCAAGCCTGAAAGGGCTGACGAGTACCGCAATGCACACTGATCCATTCACACAACCGAACAACCTGTGGGTTCTTTAGGAATGCACGGGAATGACTGTGCCGGGACACCCCACCTCTAGGCTTTCCTGATATGTGAATTTACAGCTCGGGGTCATTAAGGGAAGAGTCAGCCTGTTCGAGTCCATGACTCACCCTTGAGTTGTTTCTCCCCCAACAGGCCCAGAGCCCACACTCACACATTACAGAGAATACCAGAGCGGAGGGGCATCCCTGGCTGGTTCAGCACAGCAGAAGCAGTTTGGGGGACAGGAGCCAGCGCGCCCGCTCTGCCGGACAGTCGTGCGCCCCAGGGCACAGAGGGACAGACAACGATTGTGTTGTGGCCATGTGAGGGGCACTGTGCGGGTGGCAGCAGCTCTTCCACACAGTGTGTGGCTGCCTCCTGCTACACTCCCTCCTTCCTCGAGATCAGAGCAGCCACGATCCCAGCTAGCTCTGATTTGGAAACGAACAAGCTTTCGCAAGCTGAAGGACCGGACCGTTTGGTGAACTGCCACTTTTAAGATACCTCTGAGAGGACCATTTAGGAAGAGGCTTCCTGACCCTGCGCAGCAGAGCCAGGATAACAGGAGAGCTTCACTGGCTTTGCCCCACTTCCCCCCTCCCTCCCCCCTCCCCCAAATTGCTTGCTCGTGCAGGAACTAGGACACATTTAGATCGGATTGGGGAGGGGGATACATTAAAGGGAAAACAACAGAGACGAGCCAGCGATGCCTCGAGGGGGGAAACACACGCACAAGTCCAAGCCTTTAAAATGGCCACCATCGCCAGGCAGCCCTTATCTCCCACACAGCAGCAGAGACGGGTAGATCAATACCTCTCGGGGCCTGATGCCTCCGGAGCACCCGCAAATCAGAGAGGCGGCATTCCCAGCAAAGCGCCTCAGACGGTATCCTCATGACACAATCAGAGGCAGTGGATGGGGGAAGAGGTGTGCAATTGCACACGTGCAGGCACTTTCCTTCCCCATCTCCAAGTTCACCTGTTATGAGTATTTCTCTACAGATAGAAATTGCGGGAAGACATACAAAAGAATGTATTCAATCACCCTAAGGAAGTTATTTGGCTGCTGGGGGGAGGGGCACCCCATTTCATTTGGCAGAAGCAGTGCTTTAATGCAGACCTAGATCCAACACGGGTGGTAGACAGAGGGGCTTCAGTCTAGAAGCAAAGGATCCCAAAGAAAGAGGCCAGAGGGACGGACTTGGGAACTTGATTTCTCTGGCATTGAAAGCTCAGTTCGCCTTTCCTGTGAGGCAAAGCAACTCTTGCAGTTTCAACAGTGGTCTCCTTTTCAAGCTGCCCACCTCCCACCCTCCAGTGATAAATCCACCTCCAAAATGGGATGGGCTCCCTTACCTTTCTTAATGACGGACTGGTCCAAGAGATTCAAGCCACTCTCATCGACTGCCTGAAGGAACAAGGGACAAAGATAATTCAGCTGGCCTGCCATACTCGTCTGCTGGATGACTGAAATTTTCCATTTCAAGCATGTTTTACAAAATCATCATCCTAAGACCTGCCGCCTAGCCAAAACTGTTAGGGAAATAAATATTGCGTACAATATTTATCATTATTGCCACCTATTATTATTGAAAGCAAGGCATTGTTTTGCAGGCAGAGAAAGACTCTTATTCCCTCCACAAGAAGAGACTCAGGCAATTCTCGCGCATGGGCTTCCAGACAGAAATTCAGAGACATTCTTAAGATCCTAGATCCGAGAAGGAAAGAAAACCACTTTCTTTATCACGTCCCATGTCCCATTGCTCGATCAGCAGGAACATGCTTTCTCTGACCACTTTGTTGCCAAGAAAGGCCATCTCTATTTGTGGAAAAGAAAAGAACAAAAGAGGCAAGACCGTCCTGTTTGAAAACAGCCGACAAGCAAGCAGGAAAATGATGTTTCTGGAGGAGAATAAACCACAAAAGAGACCAGAATTGCTCTTTAAAGATGCATGGCATAATTCAGCAAAAGGCAAACACTTTTTAGTCCCATTAAGTCCCCTTTGGGAGAGAGTTGTGCATATTTAGCTTTCATTGGGACAGGAGGTGTAACCTATGCGGGAGAGCAAACTCCACTGACTCCAGAGTTCAAGCCCACGGTGCAGCTCAGCTCACGGCTGAGTAGATGTGCACAGAATTGCACTGTTAAAGTACCTGACGTTTGGCTAGAGGGGGCTGCATTTATTGCTAGGTGTATCCTAGCAAACGAAATTCAAAATACAGGACCCGAAGCGCACTTTGTCTTTTCCAGCTTGTATTTCAGAGTTTTCTGCCTTCTCCTAGGAGCGGCAAAACTCTAAAAGCAACGGATGCTTTATGTATTTTTCGAAAGATGCATTGGGAATTGTTTATTTTAAAGTAAGAGATTTTTAAAATTATGGTTATTAACCAAAAAATTCCCAGAATTGCATGTTCCTATTTTTTGGTTTTGGACAAGTTCTCCCAACTGGTTTAGAGTAGGGAAGGTTTAATTGCCTGAGAACAATAGAAAGTCCATTGTAAGGGGATTTATTTGCCAAAGTGACCCAAGAGTTTTAAAATGGACAATGTTTACTGCCATCTTGACTTTAAGAAACATGCTACTTAGAGAAGCTGAACCAGTAGCAAAGGCTCAGAAACTCAAAAGGTGAGGGGAGAGAAAGAGAGAACTAAATAAAAATGCCAAAATGATCAAATGATTAGGGAAAGATAACCCAATGTTTTAAAACTTGAATAAGGTTTTTGCGTCTCTCTTCACTTCATTTTTAGATTTTTAAAAGAGGGAAATGCAGCAGTAAAGCCTTCCCAAGCCCGGGCATGCCGGCTGTACATGATTACTCAGAAGTAAGTGCCAGAAAATTCAGTGCGACTCCCACCAGCCCCAGATTACAGCCTTAACAGTGCAACCCTAAACACAGAGAGTCAGATGTAAGCCCCATTTAATCCAGTGCAACTTACTCCCAGGTAAATGAGTACAGCAGTGCAGCCTTAAGGTTGAAAAAGATGGAGGAGGTGTTACCCACTGGGAAGGGCATAATCCAGCCACAGTGAAGCATTTTAACATCGCATGAAATTCAACAGGACGGAACCACCAAGGAAGCAAACCTTGTTCTTCAGCATCCCCCTGAAATCAGCTGGATTTAAAAACTTAGCTTGGGCTGGATTGCGTCTGCCCATTGGGACTAAAGGAACTGCACAGTTACTCCAGTGAAAACGGAGGAAGTATAGTTAGAAGGGATGAAAAGCTTCGGTCCACCAGGAGCAGAGAGAGTGAGACCACCAAGGGCCGTCGAAAGAGTTCTCAGCTTCTAGGCACTCTTTTGCTCAGCTCGGGGTGGAATCGTTTCAGGTTGTTTTGGGGGCACAAGAAACGAAATGCGGGGGAAACAGGGGACAGATGCTTGCTGGGGTGGGCCGGAAAACGCGGAAGACACTTTTAGTTTGCAGATTTCCCTGGAGCGGGCTGGGACTTTGCCTGAAATCATCCCGATGCGCGCGGAACGAGTCTCGGGAGCGCCTCAAAAGGAGCGAAAAAAGTTAACCGCGAAAAAACGCGGCAGGCCAGGAAGGAAAGAGGCGCGCTTCGGCCAGCCTGGCAACTGACCAGGTCTTCACCCGGTCTACTCGGAAGTCACACACATCCAGCCTCCCGACAGAGCATCCTTCCCCCGGGAAGTTGCACAAAAGTGCAGAATTCGCCCTATTGGAACAGCACGCTCAGTTGTCGGCCTCTTTAGGTTTCCTCTCGCGCTGCTCGGCGTGTTTCCACAAGCAATTGAAAGAAGGGTTTGGAAACGTATTTTCCGCCACGTCCCAGTTACTTCATGTTTACAAAAACCGGATTTGATCGGGGAAAAATACATAAATTTGGTTAGAATTGTCTGCAAAAGAGTCAAAGAAAAACTCCCGTCCTCTGAAGCAAATGGGCTATTTAATAAAATTGGCTATATATTCCAGTTTGCCACTGTGAAAGAGCTGATCTGTAGAGGCAGAGGTGGAGAAAGAAGTGCACTGCGACGGGGGTGGGGGGGCGAGAGAGAGAGAATAGAAACTTCGAGCCAAGGCGACATTTAAAGTCAGCAGAGCCCAAACGCGCGTTTCGCGATCCGCCGTGCATTTCCCAAAAGCGGCTTGGGTGTGAGCAGCGGGGAGCGCCGGGCGAAATCGATTCCGCGCTTGATGAAGGGCATTTTCGGGAACTGCCAGGGAGGGGCTGTTTTTGCTGAAAAATAAATTCGCCAAAGGGACCAGAGACTGAGGTTACGAGGAGAAAGGGGGTTCAAGGTCCCTTTACTGAGACCAGTTCAGTATTCTGCGCCTTCCTCCCCGGGGTCGTACAAATGGACGGAGAAAGCGATTCTATAGCTGCACGTACTCATCCTGCCTTTTCCCCGAAAGTAAACTGATTGAATGCAACAGAGTTTTCTGTGTTCGCAAGCAGAACCGGAGAACCAACAAGCCCTTTTTTGAGCGGGGCTTGAAAGCGCCGGCTTCACCCGAACAGGCGGGCTTTTCCCGAAGGCCCCCTGCCCAGCCAAGCCGGCCGGAGGCCCGTGGCCGCTGAGCAGCGCCGCCTCTCCTCTCTCCCGCCCGCCCCTCCGTCCCGTCCGTCCCGTCCCGTCCCAAGCGGAGAGGCACGGCGCTCCGTGCAGACGAGGCCCCCTTTAGCGAGGCGCGGAAGCGCCGCGGCCGCCCTACCTGGATGTCCTCGATGCTGTGGTGGCCCAGGGCGTGGAGCCCCAGCGGCCCGTCGCCCAGGGCGTGCGCTCCGTCGGCCAGCCCGTGCAGCAGGCGCGGCACGCCGGGGTAGTCCCTGCGCGGGTCGAGGCCGAGCGCGCGGTGCGTCTGCGAGAGGAGGCCGGCCGCCTCCTCCTGGCGCGCCCGCTGCGAGTGCCAGCCGCCCTGCTGGTGCTGGTGGATGGGGTTGATGGCGGAGTAGGGGTCGCCCAGGTGCGGGTAGCCGGCGGCGTCCTGGCTCTGCGAGTAGGGCAGCGGCGGCTGCGGGTACGGCGGCGGGAAGTAGGGCGGCTGGAAGTCCGAGGCCGGCGTGTGGCAGAGCGGCGGGGCCGAGGAGTACGCGGCCGCCTGGTTGAGCGACGAGAGCTGCGAGAGGCGGCCTCCGGGGGAGCTCCCGTTCAGCCCGTCGGAGCGGTCCTGCAGAGGAGGGCGGGGAGCGGGGAAACAAGCAGACGGGTCACCGGGCGGCCGCCGCGCCGGCACGGCCGCGCTCCCCGCCGCGCAGCAGGGCGCCCGGCGCCGGGCCGGAGCGCGTGGCCGCGGCTCCCAGGCGGCTCCCCGGGGCGCGCGGCTCTCGGCACACCTGAGCCTCGGGCGAGGCGCGCGCCGCCGGCAGCCAGCCGTGCTCCGCGCCGCCTGCCCCTGGGCGAGCCTCCGCCGCCGCCCTCTTGCAGCCCCGTCGCGCGGCACGGCGGAAGGGAAGCCCGGACCGCCTCGTCGCAACCCGCTCCGCTCCGCTCCGCTCCTCGCCCGCCCGCCCGCGCGGCCTGCGGCCCCTTCGAGCTGCCGGAGCCCCAGCTCCGCTCCGGGCAGCGGCGCCCGCCGAGGGACCCGGCCCCCGAGTCCCCGCGCCCGGCTGGGGAGCCTTGCCGGCCGCCCCCGCCCTCGGCCCCCCGCCCAGCCCCGCCAGCGCCATGGGACCCTCCGTCCGCGCCAGCCCCGGCCTTCTGCAGCGGGGGCGCCCGGCAGCGAAGCCCGCGCAGCTGCGGCTGCTCGCCCGGGCACGACGCGCCGCGTAGCCGCAAGGCGAGGCGAGGCGCGCGGCGCGGCGGAGGCAGCCTTCCCCGTCGGATCGGGCTTGCTGTGCGCGGCGAAAAGGGACAGAGTCGCCTCGGAAGCGGCTCTCGTGGCGCCTCGCCTCGCCCCGCCGCCCCCACCCCGCCCGCCGGCTGTGTAATTGCCTGGGCCGCTTCGCTGTGCCCAACTCTCCCTAGGAAAAAATTAAACCATCAACCAGGGACGCTGCGGAGCCCAGACATCTGGCCAACATTAAAGGGTGAAATCTCTCTTAATTTGGAGGTATAGGGTTGCTTCAGCTAACTTTCCCTTCGAATGAGCCCTGCAGGGAGAGGAAGACGTCTCTCTTCCCCCCCCCCCCCCCCCGCACACACAAACAAAGTCCAACTCACCATGGCGGAATATGTGTGAACCAACATTGGAGGCAGCCTCAAAGAAACCAAAATCTTCCAGGAAAATGCCCCAGACGAGAAGAAGGGGGGCTTGAGAATGAGAACAACAACAGCCCCCCCAGCCCCGACGAAAGTATCCGTCAAAACCGAGCGGCGATCCGCGCTCCCATAGGCGCACCCTCCGGGAGGCAGCCGGGCGCTCGCCGCGGCGCTGACGGCTACTTCTTAAAATTCAAATCTTTCACTTTGAAAACCCTGCGCTTGTCTCCCAGTTCCGGCTCCCTCTGAACCCAAAGCAACTCCATGGACTCCAGTTATAGAGGCGGGGGCGCGCACGGAGAGCCGGGCGCGCGCGTTAAAGAGACAGAGCGCCGGCCTCTGCCTCGGGTGCGCAGAGGGCTTGCCTTTGCAGCAGCGAGGGCTTCGAGGCGGGCGGGGGGAGGAATCCAGCGCTGAGCGGCCGAATCGTCGCCAGGGATGCAGGAAAAAGTCCAGCGGAGTTAACTGGGCGAGCCCAGGGCTGACATCCGATGCGAAGCGGCCTTCCCCGCCGCACAAACCGGACTCACTGCCGAGCAGACTGCCTCTGGCCGGACCGCGCGCCTGGCCGCGTTTCATGGGGCGCGGGATCCTTTGGCCGTAGGGGGGATCAATGCAGACCAAACACGCATCGGATCGGGGCGGGCCGTCTTCCTCGGTCTAGTTACTCGGAAGTAAGTGCCACTGACTAGCGCGAGCAAGTGGACCAGCCTAAAGTGAGGTTGCATCTGTCTGGCGAGGAGGGCTAGGGATCTCTAGCTAGCGCTCACCACCAGCCCTTAAACGGCCTCGTCTATCTATCAGCAGCGCAGGATTGTCTCCCACCCGTTCAAACTTCCTTTTCTCCTTGTTTCAGCTTTTAATCCCGTCCCCCCCCCCCACTCGCCCAGCGCCGCCTTTGTAAAGTTCCCTCCCTCCTATTTAATCAGCGCCGAACCGCAGCCTGCGGTTCCCACTCGCCCCTCTGACCACCAGGATCGTCGCCTGAGTGGGGAGCCGCGGAAAGCCCCCCCCCCCGTCTCGGAAGGCAGCCTGTGCTTCCCCCATCCAGCTCGCGGGGACGTTGGGGAGGGGAGAGGCTCGCCCGAGGGGCTGTTCCTCAGTCGGTTGCCCCGTTGCTCGAGCCACGAGGCAAGGGATGGGTGAGCGAAGCCCCAGCCGCGCCTGCTGCGGGCGGATCCGTGGGTGGGCAGCGCCGGGCAACCCCTCCGCGGGCGCGCCAAACGGGCCACCTCCTCCCGGGGCTCGGAGCTGCGACGCTGAGCCCCAGCGAGGCGCTAATTCGCCCCCTCCCCGGAGGGCCCTTTCTGGCGTGGCCGCGGAGGCAAGCACCGCAGCTGATTCGGTGGGGGCTGCTTCTGATGCTGCGGGGTGGGGGGCACAATATGATTGGGGAGCTCCGTTTACCACCATCCCAGTGGGACCCACGTTGTACATACACGTCCCTCGCAGCCCAATCCCAGGATTCCCTTGGGAGTCAAGCGCCCCCGCTTTTCGGGGGAGCAGCTCGGAGCGTGTGCGCAGCTGAGCGGGAGCCGCCGGTCGCCCGGGAACAGGCTCGTTCACGGGCCAGAGCCGTGCCGAGCTGGGTGCGACTGCGGCGGTACAGAAGCCTGGCGCCTTGCGGCAGGGTCGCTGCGAAGGCAATCCCCGTGGGACGGCTGCAGGGGAAGCCACGGCCCAGGGACCCATCCTCTGGCCCATTTTTTTTAAATTAAGATTTTCCTATATTATCGTTAAGATTTAGATTCGAAGGCCCTGCCTCTTTGCCCTTCTTTGCTCTGCTTCTCCTCTGGAAGAAATCGTTTTAATATGATGTTTCTTGCTCTTATTCGTAGCCAGCTGGGCAGGGGAAAGGAAAGGAAAGCCGTGAAAGAACTGGGGCAAAGTAGCTGTTCCCCCCACTAGGCTAGAAGTGGGGCCCATGGAGTGCAACAGGCCTTACTTCAGAGTAGACACATAGAGGATTGCCCTCTCTCAAGGACACTTCTTAGAGCAGGACCAAAGCAAAGGGAAGGCAGGTGACCGTCCCCTCGGTTTTTGTGCGAGTCAAGCAAATGCTGAAATTCCGCACACTTGTGTCCTACACAAGTCTTGTGAGAATTATTATTAATTAGATTTATATCCTGCTTTTCTCTTACAAACCCAAAGTGGCTCACATCACTCTCCTCCTGTTCTCTTCTTTCTAAGCATTCTTAAATTTGTGTGGATCTTGTCCCAAGGGGGTTCTCTTTTGGGGGGTGGGATAAGTATTTGAATAGAACCCCATCCTTTTGTAAATCTGATCTGTTTACCAAGTGCTCCAAAATTACATTTCTTACCACAGAAGAAGACATTCTGGAAAAAAAGAATAAAAGTCAAAACCATCATCTTAGCACATCAGACCTTCTTCTCCTGATCACAGGGATGCCTTCAGAGAACCCAGAAGCCAGTCAAACGGGTTGAACCGGATCCTGAGCTCAAGCTGGCTAAACCGACTGGTTGGGGGGATGGCCTGCGATGCGAGCAATATCAAACTTCTGCGGGGGCCTGGCGTGCCGCCCTCCCTCCTTCGCCGCTGTATGCATTGACAGGGCGGTCCCTTCCTGGAGAAAACCTCCAAGAGCAGCCACTTTTTCCCGTGCAGAAGCTTTTGTGCCATTCATGGAATTCATTGTGCCCTTCAATGAATAAGATCGCATCAGAATGAATGATCCCACCCCTAATTCCGGGTTCCCTGGTGCATTTTCCTGCAGAATCAATGACACTTCATTTAGGCATAAGCACACTTTCTGTGTATACCTATTGCATACTGCGTGTGCAATATGCTGTGTAATAACCCACATATAGAGTTTCTGGCGTCGCCGGCGCACGCGCCTGCCCTCACACGCACAGGGAGCACAGGCCGGCTTGTCTGGGCAGGCGCGCTCGGGGCCGAGTCACACGGCGCGCCGGCAGAGCGCTGCGGAGGAAACGGGTGGGATTCTGCTGCACGAGAGCGGGGCTCGCCGAGGAACTGGGCAGTACATCCCGCATGTGTTGTGAATGCGTGGATGTTTGAACTGTACGTATTCCGTAAGAGATTTGACCTATGAAAATATCTAGACTGAAATAGACACGAATATCCCATGAGTTGATTGCTTCTCAAAATGCCATTAATCCGTCACTTTCCTTGTACCGACTCCGTTTTCCCTTCTAAGCGCATAAAACCTGTTTACCAACCTACGTATAATTTGTCTTATTCATCGCCTCAATTTCCGCGAACGAATGAGCCCCACACAAATATTCACCCAGCTGCCTCTCTCCACGTCCACATCCCTTCCTGTCTGGGTTCTGTGATCCGTGCCCACAGACGCACGTGCTCCTCCGGTGATACGAACCAAGTCCAGTCCAGTAGCGCTTGTTTCCAAGAAAGGGCAGCTTCTGGAAAGCTGCTGGGAAGGCAGCTTTCTGGTAGCTTATCCACAGAAGCTGTTATTTGGAGATAGAGTGCCTCTGCACATGCAGGTTCAGCTCAGCTATCATAGCCACGCACTCTCTGTCTGTATCCTCCACAAAACTGTCTAACCGTGTCTGGCCATCTGAAGGTCCAGTCCTGCGCAGGTTGGCTGCAGCATGCTGCGAGTTGTACGTTTAGGGTTTAAACCTTTCCTGGTTTAAACTCGCATAGGATTGTGCGCAAAGTCAGTGGACCCCCCCCCCCCAGTCTTGGGTTGGTGGCAGGCTGTAGAAGTTAATGGTGCCTTTGTGAGAAATTCAGCAGCCTTCAGCCTAGGAAGGGCTTCCTCCCACCGCTCTTACAGAGCAGCGCTAAGCACGCACTTACCTGGGCATGTGGCCTGTGTAATATCGTTCCCTGCTCCTCAGTAAATGTGAGCGGGGCGGTGGTGCTGCGAAGGCTCTGGGAGGAAGCCCCGCTGAGCTCCCTGGGACTTATGCTGCGCAGGCCTTAACAGGGTTGCGCTGCCGTAATATAAGCAGCGCCTAAGCTTGGCTTCTCTTTTCTGGGTAGGAAGGTTGCTCCGGGCCCTTGGCGGCTTTGCCCCCATCCCCGCTGGGAAATGCTCCTTAAAAATAAAAGATGGAATGACCTCAGGAGTAGGAATAGATTGTAAGACACATGCGCCCTGAGTCTGAAGAAAGTTATTACAACTATTTATTCGGATCTTCACAGAGTGGGACAGGACCGGGACGGGAGCGGGGGGGGGGGGGGTGGAAATCAAGGCCATTTCCTTGTCCTTAAAAGTGTTGCGGGACTACAAGAGAAATAATTGCGTTGAACATTTCTGCAGCGGCATGTTTGCTGTAAAAAAAAGTCTGCGGGAAAGAATTTGGGGGAAACCTTAGTTGGGATCGAATTATACTGATTTTTCCGACACAGGCATAGACGGTAGACGCCTAGAGAAATGCATGACTTGTCCTAAACCAGAAAACGACATTCGCAAAAGGAAGGCCACCCTGGGCGCAGGAGGGGGTGGAAACAGCCAAACCTCCCTTCCCAGCCAACCGGCCCCTTCGAAGAATCGTATATTCCAAGAAGTAGAACACGAACCAGCCGAAGTTGCTGCCCTCGAAATCGGATCGAGTGCGAGACGGGAGTGTTTCAGGAATGTGTTCAGGTTTTCCCACGGCGCAAGCATGTGGGACTAACAGCCCATACATTTACTCAGAAGTAAATCCTACTTCGTTCCATGCAGCCTACTTCCAAGTAAGCCTACATAGGCGGACAAGGGCTTGCTTGCAATCCTACGCTCGCTTCTTTTGGGAGTAGACACCATCGAAATAGAACTTCTCTGCCCCCTTAATTACTATTTGGAGTCTTCCACGCCGCCCTCTCTGGAGGTGCCTGCGGGCAAACGCCGAGCCGCCCCGACACGGCCGCGCTCGTAGCCACGCACAGGGTCGGCCCGACGCGTGCTTCCTTCGCCTGGGATCGTGCGCCGCGCCTCCCCGCGGAGCCCCGTTTCCGCCGGCAGAAGCGACAAAAGCAGCGCACGCAAACAAAGCGG